TTGCATTTTTTCCAACTGGAAACGTGATGATATAAAGTCGTATTAGGCTTGCCAAATCTTGGAATGTATCTCGGATATCTAATCCAAATTACTTGGAAAAAATATTATTATTTCGACTATTGTAAGAAACGTACGGGACATAAGAAACGATTTTGTTGCACATAAAGCAGGACAATTTGCGGCAGATAGGAAAAGCGGACATTCCCAAGAACGTTAAGATACTCATTTTCAAAAATTAAAATATTTGAAAATGAGCACTCCTCTCGAGATCAACAACCAAATTAATTTTACCTTCCTCCCCCCCCCCCCCCCCCCCAAGGAACCGGTACCAACCAAAATTTTGTTTATATTTTAGACTTGCACCAATTTTGCTCATCATAAAAATCAATCTCGCAGAGATAGATAATATACTTGTAAAAGAGTATATTAATAAATATCATAAATATATTTGATGATTTTATTTTTGCTTCAACTTTGTTAGTAGAATAACTAGTAAATTCTAAAGGATATTCACCAGGTCAAACTTGACGCTACTTTATTTGATGCACTGCCCTAAAATTAATTTAATTCCATACTATAATTAAGTGATAGGTTTATGACCTAAGATCACGGTCACTTCTGGTAAAGAAAACTAGTAACATTACCAAACACTCCAAACATTAAGTTTAATGACCTAAACATCCTTGCTTAACCTTGTAATCACGTTGCGATGAAGAGCTATTTAAGTAATTTGACTGGTAGAAATCCCTTTGGTGGCACCTTTATGTTATCGTTGTTACCTAGGGAGGTTTAATGTCCTTTACGAAGTTACATGTCCTTTATAAAGTTACTTGTCATATTTTGATTTCTTTATAAGAGCCTTTTGCTGCCTTTTACGTTTGTTTTCAGAAATCCCCCCAAGTTTTTGGTTTACACTTTTTTCCGCAGATTCAAGGAACCACCAAGGAAAAAGTGAAGGTGAGGTTGCATATTTTTCACCAACTCCTCCTAAGTTGGTTATCCCTATTATATATTGACTACCGGGATTTGTTGCTTTTCAGGCCAGCACAGGTGTTATGAAGCCTACCTCTTTTCTATCAGCAACTTTGCTTGGATTTTTATAGCAAAGATCTTACTGCCATGGCATGCACAACAGTAAGTGTTGCTGCAACCCCAGTTGCCACATCAACCAAAGACATCTCCAAAGAACAGAAGGGTCTCCAACAATCCCAGTCTGCCAAAAACCTTGGCAAACAAGCTCGTATTCAGAGGTCTTATTCAGACAACCACCTGTGTCATTCTTTCAATGCTATACGTGCTGAGTCATCAAAACCAAAGCTGAAGAACAGCCATTCAGTTGGGAACTTCCCCTTCCAAATATCTAGTTCCATAATCCCAAACTCACTTAAATCATTCTTGTTCGATCCAGAGATTAGTAAGGATTTGAATCTTGCAGATAAAACAATGAATATTGTGGTAAGCTCAGATGAGGTCGATGAAGAAGATAAGGAGGTGAAAAGGGCAAATTGGGTGGAGAGGTTGCTGGAGATTCGCAGCCATTGGAAGAACAGACAGCCAAAAGGAAATACAGATGCTGATACAGTTTGTGATGAGCAAGATGAAACTGTATATTGTGGTTGTGATGGAGAAGAGAGTGGTGAGTGTGCCGTAGAATATGATTCGGGAGAAGAGACTGGAGAAGAGACATTTGATCTTGAATCGTTCTCCAGGTTATTGGTTCAGGTACCATGGTCTGATACCAAGCAATTTTCTCAGCTGGCCTTCCTATGCAACATGGCCCTACGTTATACCAGAGATCAAGGTATGGTGAAGGCAGATTTCACTTACAATGCGAGTCCCTACACTTATCACTAGTTGACATCTAATCTCTTCTTAACCATATGCAGGCTGGTGATCTAAGAAGATACTATGGTCTACATTATGTAACATCTTCCTTGGAAAAGAAAGCAGAGGCTGCCATAACCAAAGCAAAGTTTGATCAGGACTCTACTTCTGTACCTGCTGTCAGTCCAAAGGGAACTGAATCCAGTTCAAAGAAAACCATAGAATCCAAGCAGAAACGTCCAATCCGTTCCTCTGCTGCTTACGAGATAGCTGCTTCAGCTGCATCATACATCCATTCACATGCAAAAGATCTTCTATCCAGCCGCACCGAGCCAGCAAAGGAAAATGGTGTAGATTCCTGTAGGAGAGGAACAGAGCCAAGAGGAGAGGATGAAAATCCAACCCGAGTGCACAAATCAGTGGTTGCGGCTCATGCAGCAGCATCCACAATGACTGCAGTGGTTGCAGCAGGAGAGGAAGAAAAGCAGAAGGCGGCAAAGGACCTTCAGTCACTTCACTCTGCACCCTGTGAGTGGTTTGTGTGTGATGAGACAAGCACCTACACTCGCTGCTTTGTGATCCAGGTAATTCTTTCTAGGCCAAGTAAATTCATGAAGACTCTAATTTTATCTAGCAAATGGAAAACACTCATATGGCA